TTCATTAAAAGACTGTTAAGTAACTTAATGATCTTTTTTAATCTTTTAATGATTCATTAAAAGACTGTTAAGCAACTTAATAATCTTTTCAATCTTTTAATGAATCATTAAAAGACCATTAAGTAACTTAACGATCTTTTTTAATCTTTTAATAATTTATTAAAAGACCGTTAAGTGACTTAATGATCTTTTTTAATCTTTTAATAAATCATTAAAAGATCATTAAGTGACTTAATGATCTTTTTCAATCTTATCAAGATTTATTAAAAGACCATTAAGTAATTTAATGATTTTTTCAATCTTTTCAAGATTTATTAAGTGACTTAACGATCTTTTCAATCTTTTAATGAATCATTAAAAGATCATTAAGTTACTTAATGGTCTTTTAATAATTCATTAAAAGATTAAAAAAGATCATTAAGTCACTTAACGGTCTTTTTCAATCTGCTAATAAATCATTAAAAATAAATATGTATTGGTATTTGACGAATTTGGTTCTAAAAGAAATAAATATAATGGAACATGTGCAAATTGTGGGTACTCTTATGTTCAGAAAATCCTAGGCTAAAGATCACTTCCAACTCTATCCAGATCCAATAAAATCACAGGATCTTGTGTAACATAACAAATGCGAAAAACATAAGAAATTGTAAAAAAATATAAATAACACAAAAATTTACTATGATAAATAACTTCTGACCTCTAAGTAAAAGTTTTCAGAATGAAATTTACTTATAAAACAATTGTTAATATTAGATATATAGTGAATTTTTAAGATACTATGACTATATTCTTTTGGCTAGCAGCTTAGAATTTTCTGAACATAAAGATATCTGCAAATTGCAAGCAATATAACACATCTTATGCTTGGTATCAAACATATACCTTCAGAATAATGATTTGGACTAAGAAAAATTTTCTTAATCGGTTAACTGAACTGAAATATTTTATGCCAACTGATTCAACTGATTAAGATTTACTTCACACTTTACCTTCAGAAAGTCTCGGAGCTTTACCCAAATTTTTGACCTTTTCAAAATCCACCCGATTACTAATTCTTAACTGGTTGTACAGGTCAACTGATTAAGAATTTACTTAACCAGTTATCTGAAATTTATTTGATTCAGGTCGGTTAATCGATTCTAGCCTAACCGGTTCAAATTACTACTTTAGAATAATGTTCCAAGTTGGTAAAAATTTTGCCAATCAACTAGTTGCCAACTATAGTTGCAACTAATCAACTTTTATATCATATAACTAAATTTGTTAATTAGCCAATCAAATCATCAAATCATCAAATCAAAGAAATTAGCATAAATTAGCCTGAACAAACAAAATATCTCATAATTAAACTATTTAATGATTCAGTTTGGTTGTTTTTAAAATTTTCCAAATCAACTAGTTGATTTTTCAACTAACGATTTGGATTACTACATGTAATAGGTTGTTGCAAAACATTTATTCTTATTTAAAAAATACTAAATATAATTTAATTTTCCAAGCAAATTTGCCTAAAATATGATATAAGAAATAAATATCTACTTATATAATTTAGTAATACGTACCTTAGCAAAACAGTATTGTTTAATATAAATTTGAAAACACACCATTAGATAAATTTTTAAATATTAATCTTGTTTATCGAAGTTTAATTGTTATTAATTAATTGTACTATCTATATACTAATAATGATTACCAAATTAAAACTATATGTCCTGTTCAGATAATATATATTTACAATACCGATCAACAGATTGCATTTCATAGCAATAAAAGACGCTCGCTAATAATTATAAATCCATCTTTTTGAGTAATCACGCGTTCTTATTTCTAATATACCCCTATCTCACGGAAGTTTGTAAACATTTTAAATCAAAGTTTTGTAATAAACATAAAAATAGAATAATAAAATAGTCTATTTATCGAAATGTTTAGTTATGCTAAATATTAATAAGAATTTTTTAAGATTCTCCTATTAAAGTTTGATCAACCTTTTAAAAAATAAAGATGTTTTACTAATGATACATCATTCCTATTAAACTTAGGTTCTAATCAACGTTTAAGAATTCATCGCCGATTTTTTCCAAAAATTCTTGAATAGCAACTCTAACATCAGCTCTATCCACTCCAATAATTTTAATTACTAATCTATAAAAATCTGGAATTTGTTTTCTTAGACCTACTAATCTATTTGTTTTGTTATCATCATCGTCATTTATATCAACATCACTATATCTTCTACCATAATTCCATTTAGTCTTGCTCAATTCTCTTAGAACTGTAACTACCAAAGGCGACCAATTGTTCATTTCTCTTTGTTGATTTAACAATGGTTCGTGCATTAATTTAACAAGTTTTTGAAGCACAAGTGTTGATTCTTCAACCAAAGGTGGTAATAAATCTTGATCACTATCACCAAATGTTCGATATAGATCATAAAGAATTGAGAGGAACACAGATAACGATAAAGTTTCTTGTTTTGTAAGATTAGGTAATTGTTGAACGTATCCTGCTTTTAAGAGGGACCGACGAAGATCATGATTTGCATTGAATTCGTGAGCAAATTTATAAGAATTATATAGACATCTCAACCACCTATTCCGGAATTCTGCTGGCATCTGAACAAAATAACTAACTTGTTCCTTATCATTAAATGCAAGGTCTTGAACAGTTTGGATAACAATAAGTTGAGTTCCACACTTTATAACTGTGTATGGAAAATCTATATCAATTTTAGAATTACTTTGATCAGGTATGAAAGATGGTGGACTATTATCAGATATTTGTATATTTGCTGAATCGTTAGTTCCGTTGATTGAAGGAACGTTCATTAATGGAGTTCCACCGCCTACTGGTACGTTCTTTATACTTCTTGTATCATTCTTTTCATTGTCACCAACTTCCGTTACCGTTATTTCAAACTCCAAAAGTTCATGTGGAGTCGTCCATTTAAAAATTTCTTCTAATGTTGTTGTAACAATTCCCCACGTGACGTTATCAAACTTTGACCCATTTTTTGATATCAGATTATGGAAACAACGGATTCCAGTTTGACCCAGCTTTTCGTTTCTACGTTTAATTAGGGCTATCAGTAAATCCAACAATTCTACTAAAAATTCAGATTTTGTAGCAAATATATCATGGAAAAGTGCATAAAGTTCTACCATAGAACGAATAGTTTGAACCCATATTTCTAAAGTAGTCTCAGGTTTCTTATCAATAGTTGATGATTGTTGCGATAATGTAGGTTCTTTGAGATCTTCAAATATGGGAATTATAGCATTCCTAAAAATTTTGATCCAATAATTTATTTCAAATAAGTGTCCAGTAGATTTCAAAATCTCAAAGAGTGTTTCCAAAGCTTTATTCCTAATATCTTCAGATTCTGAATCAATTACGAGACGCGAAAGACCAGATACAACAGGAAACCATTTCAAGAAAAATTGTTCTTCTTCGATGTGTTGCAATTTCTTCTTGGAAGCTGCAACATGCTCTGGTGTAGCTGTTGATGGTAATATAATAATATTCTCTTTCCGCTGTTCACTCTTTGTTAAATTGTCTACGTCCTTTACTAAAACCTTAACACAGCCGTGTAACATTCTGATGGATTCGTTGACAAATTCTTTTTCCTTGCAGTTAAATGCGAATTCCACTAAACAATTTACGAAATCTACGAATGCAGGTCCTATAAGGTCCAAATGTTTCTGATATACCAACCTAACAACATCAAATGTTGTTTCTACTAATTGTGTATTTTCATCAGACGCTGCACGACCGAATACCACAAAAATACTCTTCCAACCAGATTTTATATTTCTCGCGCGAGCAGAGATCATTTGAATAATTGATTGTATAATGAGATCGTGAATATTTGGGGAAGGGCTATTCTTTATGATTTGTTCGAATGGCTTCATAAATTCGCTTTGAGTATTATAATGAGATAATTCATCCCTTTCTAAAAACTTCATACTTAATTGTCGAAGAGAATCAATTGCAAAAGTGGCAACTATATGGTTTGTATGACATCCTACTGCAACGAAATGGGGTTGAAGAATTTTCCAAATTTGAGCCCATTCAAACCGAATACGTGACATGTTATAATAAGCTATAATAAAATTGTTGGTTACTTTATGGAATTAAAAAAAAGTATAAATTACATTATTATAAAACTTACCAATTTCAACAATCCGTTGAAGACTGTACATTCTCGGTGATGATCTTGAAGAATTAACTTCTTCAAGAGAAACAGCACAGAGAGCAGTAAAAAAGTGTACTATCGCATCACCACTCAATTTAAAACTGTTTGTGAAAATCCTATCTATTGCAATTATCGTACTTTGAGATTGGAATTCTTTCATTAAACCGCTAATGGAACTGTTACGTGTTGCATTTATATTTGGACGAGTTGTGGGTGATGCATTTAATGAAAGATTTGAAGTAGATGATGTTTCGTTACGACCATTTTGTGTAGAATAATCCAATCCATTAACTCCTTCCGCATTGTAAACAACTGATCCTGCAGAACTGTCGATTAATTGATAACGTTCCATGGTAGACACAGTTTTCAATACTATAAGCCATGAGGATTGCAATCCTTCACCATATAAATTAGCAGCAGACAGTAATATCCGAATGGCAGCTACATTTTTCGGTCTCATCTCATCGACATGATTTAAACCAGTTAGTTTGGCCAAGGAGGAAACAAAAGCACCACGTTCTACATCCATACAAAATATACTGCTTATTCTGATAGCTCCAAGAAATCCTTCAAGACATAGTTCAATTGATTCTTGATTTGATTGAGAGAAATCAAGACCTTTGTTGACATTCGATAAAGGATTATCTGCTTCCTCAAACACAAGACTGAGGGTAGCCATTAAAGGCCAACAAACCACAGCAAACATCGGTTTAACATGGTCTGCGTGCGACGCACTTCGCCAAGCAGCAGGAGTTTGGCCTTGCCTATTACTTTTTAAAAGTGCTTGACTCTTTTTTTGCATCTGAGATATTTCGCGTTCATATAATTCTTGACGTTCTCGATCATTAGCATGGCTAATCGCAGTTTTGGCCACTTCTGAGAATTGTTCCTCTTCCATTACGATCTCATGATTTGCAATTTCATCAAATATTTCTCCCAAGAATTCGTCAGGAAGATCGTTGTTATTATTTATACCACGATTATTCTTTATGAACTCATTCTTATCCATGCGGCGCTTTACTTTTGCGGAATGTTGATCTGTGTTCAAGATAATTGCAGAATAAGCGAGAATGTAGGCAGTATCAGCGTTTGCAAAAACATCTGGATTAGTTTCACAATAACGATCTGCGAATTTTTCCATAATACGATCAATCTTCTGTGCTTCGCCTGGAAGTCGAAAAGTTTGTAAAAAAGACCTTAAAGCATCGACAAATCCTAATCCTACAAAGTCCATACGATCAACAAATGCATGCATAACCTTGACCGCTTCCTGATCACCTTCACCTAAATATTCACCAATAGACACCTTATTTAATCCTGCAGTCGACAAGAGGAAAGCTATTATACTATCAGTATCATCCTTTACGAAGCCATGTTCTATTAAGAAGTTAAGGCCTTTTTGCGGCTTTGCATTAAACAATTTAATTCCTTCTCGTAAAGTTTGCTTTCGTGACATCATCTCATGATATTGTGCAGGATTATCTTCATTATCATCCGTACCAATACTACTAACACTTGAATTAGAGTGAGAGGTTGAAAAATTGACACTTAATAAAGGATTTTTTGAGAAAATAATTGGTGCTTTATCTTCAATAAAATCCGGTGTTTGATTTTGCAATGAATGTTGTGATGGAGAGGGATCATTACCATTTCTTCGTTCCAAATCTTTACACCATTCAATTAAAGAATTTACAATGGCCACCATACATTTTAATCCTTTAATTTTCAGTACCTTGTCTTGCATGGCCACCAATTCTGCAGTTCCAGAACCACCACCTATTAAACTTGACATACCAGAACTACTTGGAACTTTTGTACGCAATTGAGCAACTTTTGACAATGAAGTGACAATGCGTTCGAATACACTAACCATTGCAATATCACAATCATAATTCAAGTAAATATCTAAGAGAATTTGGGGTTTTTGACATATCTTCATAAGACCTTGCAATACTAAATGTTTTTGCAAATGTGTCGCGTTACTCATATCCAAAAAACGTAAATATATTTCATTAAATAAAACCTCCAGTTCAGTCTTTAATGGTGCACGATAATAACGCAACAACATTAGGAAATTGGATAAAGAAAGTTCAAAGAGTTGTTCATTAGATGACACACCATTTTGTGATAAAGAAACGCAAAGTGCTTGTCGAATTAACTTAATATAAATCGCATCATTGTGAAAAACAGGTCCAGAATTATCTAACATTGATAAGATTAATTCCAAAACCAATGATCGGCCTTGAATATTTACTTCATCTGTTTGAGAACTTTCTTCTCCTTCGGATCTCAAAGAATACTGACAAAACATCCTAAAAGTCAGATACAGATCTTTTCGTAAAATATCAAAGAATTTGCGTTTGGAGATGGTTTCTTTGGGTTTCAGTTTTCGCTTTTTTGGTATAGTGATTGTTAGATCTTTCATAGCAGTCAAAGATGATCTCCGTCGTATCAAAGGTTGTTTTGCCTGTACCTTACTCTTATCAGGTTGAATGCCTTTTGAAGACTCGTCTTTCACATCATTTTTAAATTGGTCATCTTTTGAAGTCTCATCCTTCACATCATTTTTAACTTGGTCATCTTTTGAAGGTTCATCCTTCACAACATTTTTAAATTGGTCATCTTTTGAAGGCTCATCCTTCACATCGTTTTCAACTTGGTCATCTTTTGAAGGCTCATCCTTCACATCGTTTTCAACTTGGTCATCTTTTGAAGAATCATCCGTCACATCGTTTTCAACTTGATCATCTTTTGAAAACTCATCCGTCACATTACCTGTTGACTCTTTTGACTCAGTATCATCTGCTTTTATGGCCTTTTCATTCTCTACAGAATCTGGTGAATCAACTCCATTAACTTCTAAATTCACATAATCATCATCATCATCATCAATCACTTTTCCTTCTTTATCATCATCACTATTATCATCTTTATCATTATCTACATCATTGATTCCGTCAGCATTTTTATCATCTTTAGCTACAGGACTAACTTCAGAAGTTGCTGCTTGAGATGTAGCAGAATTACTTTTTGAAAGTTCACTTTTGGATAATTCTAGTGCGAATTCTTCACACCTCGAAACAATAAAATTTGAAATTTGAGTTAATTCGGCTTTTGCAGTTGCTCGATTCACTTGACTTTTCGAATAACAATATATATTACAACAAGTTTGAATAATTTTAAGTAAACTAACACCATGAACTGGACATTGTTCAGTAGTAACAAGAGTAAGTAATACTTTTAATATTTGAAGTTGAACAGCTTGCTCAGTTTGAGGACCAGTAAACCCTATGCAAACCGTATGAACAACTTCATCGATTAATCGAGCTGGATTCGGAAAAATAGAAGAATTGGTGGTAGAAACACCATTATTAGACTCATCATTATCAAATGGAGTATCTGATATGTCAATAAATGATAAATCATTAGAATCACTAAAACCATTTGTTGTATTTTTAGCTTTAGGATCACGTTTCTTGGTGATACTGTTCTTTGGTGGGGAAATCGGTTTAGACCCCTTAAGCAACCCATGAGCTATAATTTTTTGTAAACAATCCAAAGCTAACACACGAATGTTAGTTGGGATTGAAATACCACAAGCGATTTCGAATGGTTGCCAATAATTATCGGCTAAAATTTTTGGTAAATCTTCACCAGCACGAGCAAATAAACTACTAGATATTGATGAACGTGAATTAGCTTGTGATGGTATGCTTGGAGAACTTTTTTGTATGGGACTAGCTGTTTTTAATTCTTTCTCAGCAGCTTTTTCTGCACCCCTTTGACTGGTTTCTCCAACAGATCCATCAGTGGGAGATGGTGTTTGCGGTGCGTTATTTGTAGTATTATGATTTAATATTGACCCATTTTCAGAATTGTTTATTTGTGGGGCAACTTCGGCGGCATCATTTTCTGACTTTGCCTTTAATTTTCCATCTTTTATAGCTTTCTTTTTTGCAATATAATTTATTTCTTTTTGAAGTTTCTCTAAAGCAGTAGTACAAGCTTGTTCAAGTTCTTTTTGCCTTGATGATTGAGCTTCGGCTAGAAGCCTTTCTAAAGCACCCTTAAGGATGCTCATTTACTATATATTAATTGCGTATCGTTTAAGAGTCTACGCTGTAAGAAAAAAAAAAAAAAATCGCCCTCAGATCACAATTTTCAAATGGGTTAATGGGTTGTCTGATTCGAAATAAAAAAAAAAAGAAAAATCTGAATAATCGATTTTTTAAAAAATAAGTTCATTTAAGCCACAAGAAGAAACAAGCTTAGCCTTGAAGCTTAGAAAAACAAAGCCCGTTAACTGGGCAGTGTAGAAAATAAATTATGTATAACAATAAAAATTAACGAAAATCCTGAATCAACGGGGTATATATATGTATATAATGTAATAATTAAACGATGTGCAACAACTAATTTCCCTAGCCAGTCACCACATGCCACGATACCAATTTTATAAGCCACGAGTTTTACGTCGCATATCAAATTTTTTTTTAGATTAGATCGACAGCAAATATAATATTTTAAGATGGGACCAAAACCGGTCCAACTTTATTTTTTTTTATTTCTTTGCTTTTCATAATCCGGCCGAGCCAGATTTCTTTTATGTTTCTTATCCGAGTGGTTGGTAATAATAATACCCGTGATCTTGATATAATGACCAGAGTATTGTTTATATAAAAAATTTATCAAATTTTGAAATTATTTTTTTTTTCTAAAAAAAAAGTTAACGTTACCAATCACATTAAAATTAACCAAGCAATACTCCACAACGATAATGTGCTTGTTTAATATTCCTCTTTAACTAATTAACTTTGAACAACCTAACCTTTTTGCATTGAACTTAGTCCTTGGTGATAACCTGTTCCTATATCGGATTGCTCAATTCAAAAATATATATGAATTACATAAGCAGTAAGATTGATACTTTTTAAAAAAGACAGTTCTAAAAATAGGACTAACCAATAATTATCGATTCAAGCATGCTTGTATTATCCTACATAAATATTTATATAGCTTATATTTAGTTATACGAAAAGCTGCAATTAGCCAACATCTTTTATATCAGACAATAACTAGCCATGGCGTGATACTAAATTGGTAACTATACTGCAAGAGAATCAACTCCTACATTCTATGGCTTGCTGGAAAACTAAAAAATTGGCATGCCATTGTGACATGCTGAGCATGGCATGCTTAAATTTTTAAAGTCTATTAGGCAGATACATGGTTATAATAAATTACCCGGATAACCGGATAATTTAATAATACCCGGGTAGAAATCTTTTTGACGGGTACAATCTCTGGCATGCCATTATTATTAGCGATGTTACCCAAACTATTTGGGACGTCCCAAATTATGTGATGAATAGCATCACACGATTTCAGCATCACACATAATTTGGGACGTCCCAAATAGTTTGGGTAACATCGCTAATTATTACGTAGCAAAATTACATTTAAATTATTATAAATAATTTGATTGGCTTAAACCAAAAGTAATATTATAATACATATACAATATATATTTTATAAGTATAAATTATATTTTGGCATGCCTATTCATAGTAATGGCTTGCCTAATAGCATGCCGAATTTTTCAGTCGCACTACCCAAAAAAAATTTATTATTACCAAGGCTGGCCGATATAACCTCTGATAAAAATATTCTTTTTTTTTAAATTAGTTGGTCGACTAATAACTTAATTATTTCCACTCTTAGTGGCCACCTTATTTCTGGGTTTTAAATGATACTTTGCGTAGATTTATTTTGCAACACGTTTTTTTTTTTTTAATTGGCGATTTACTAACTTTTAATATGAAATTTTAATTTTTTTTTAAATTAATCTATTTATTGTCAAAAATATTCTTTTCTTTAAGATTCTAACAAATATTATCAAATAATGACACATCCATTATGCGTTATTACGAATAGTAGTGGTGTACGGTTTAGTAAAGTAGTGGAGTATAGTACAAAAATCGTACTTGAGTATCTAAAATTAGCATACTATACTCATAATATATATTATATATTAAATAGTATAGTTGTAAGAATTTAGTTATTATATGTGACCTCCCGAAAATTCTACAGAAATTTATTTATTTATCGTTTAATAAAAATATATAAAAAAAAAAACATATGAGACAGTGCCAAAAAGAATTTAGAACTTAAATCATTATTTTTACTGCTGTTTTCACCTTTTTAACAAAAATCAAAGATTTTCATAAAAGTCCACCAATCGAGGATGTAGTCACATGCCATTCCGACCTGAATCCAAAAAAAGTTTTTATCAAATCCTTTATTTTTTTGAATATTATTATTGTTTTTTTTTCTTAGAAGAAAAATCTTTCTTGGTTGTTTTATAAGAGACGAAACTACTACTATTAGACCAGAATAAATAGTTAAACATATTCTTAACAAGGGTAACGAAGAATTAATGCAACATAATTTTTATATAATTGCGATCAACTAAAGTTGCAATTTTTACCTTTACTATAAATTTCGGACTAATGTAAAATTTTAATAAACTGAAAAAAACACAAAATTATATTGTTATTAATTGTAACTGTATCTATAACCTGTTTCTTTGTTTTTTGATTATCGGCTATAATCCGGAAGGATATAAATTACACATGTACTGTATATAGTATAGCATTCTAAATCTTGCTTTTTAAATCGGTTCTGAAGTTCCGAACAAATGTTATATAGATGTCTTTTTAGACCTTCAAACGATGACAAACATTAGTGTAATTTATATTCTTTCTAAGGATTGGAACCGCCTAAAATTTTACTTAATCGTTTAATCGTTTAATTTGGCCGGCATTAAAATAATTCCGGCCCATGACCAACATAATTCTGCCTGGAGTTATGGAGCAATTTTTAAACGGTTAAACGGTTCCAATCCCTAATTCTTTCTAGGTCACAGCTGATAATCAAAAAGATGCTCTTTTTAGACCTACAAATGATGGTAATCAGGATAATTTATATTCTTTCGACGATGCCTTTTTTAGACCTTCAAATATGGCAAATATTAGTCTTTGTAAAGGAATGTAAATTAATATTCTTGTGATTTGTACAATTTTAATTCAAAAAAGTGATTATTTGATTGCTTTTTTTAAAAAAACAAGTTTTGGCATCAAATATCTACAAAATACTTATACTTATGTTTATTACTAGAAAAACGGCAACGTTTTGTGACTGGAGCCTTAATTCTTAAGTCTTACGCTTTATAATTAAATTTAAATTGTATAATAAATTTATAAAAAAGCTGAAATCTCTTCGATAATAACACCAAAACGACGAAACTTAAAATCTTCATTATTTATTAAGTGAACAAACAAAAACAAAATGCGAAATTATTTGAAATTATAATAATAAATACAAAACTATATAATAAATAATAAAAAACATACCTAAAAGGATACTTAGTTTCAGCTAAACAGTTAGCTTACTCGTTCTAGCCATCACGTAGCAGTGTATTCTATAACTAGTTTATAACAACCTAAAGTTGTATTTTAAATAAAAACTAAATAGAACGTAAGCAATAAATAACATAATTAACATTGTCCAATATTATAATAATCCAATAACTTGGAATATTATCCAATGTCTAAGAAAGTTCTCATAAGGCTTAGAGTTCAGCACATTGTATAAGACTGCTTAAGAAAAAAGCTTAACAATACCTTCTAATTGGTAAGTAAACCTCAAGCAGTAGAGTCAAAAAAAAAAACTATTCTAAAGAAAACGAATATAAAAAAAATCGTTTCTTAAAGAGACCGTCATGTTTGGTTCGTTTAAAAGAAATCAATGTTTTTGATTTGTAGTATGGATTTAAAAATATAAGAAGGAAAAAGATTAACATTAAAATTTTCAAAAAAAAATTCTTATATGCTTTTGTTTACTAATACGTTTATTGTTTTTGAATAAATAATAAACCGCGTGTATTGTTTACAAATCTAATTACCAGTCACGAGTTTTCCTCAACATTAGGTTGATCATCATTTTATTAGATAAAAACGTGATTATCAACCAATAAAATTAAATATAAAAAAAACTATACCCGAAGAGGGTCATATGTATTTATTATCGTAATGAAGATTTAGTAGTAATTAATATATTTTTATTAGTAAAAAAATAATACGTAAGTTTATAATTTCAATTACAAACATCGTAGGCTTACAATTAATTGAGTATTCAAAAAAAAAAGGTTGCTCAAATAACCTTATCATGCAACCTCCGAATATTAACGAACTAAACGTAGGGTGATCACGACATTTGGGTCAGTCCGTACCGTTATGAGTATTCGGGCACTTTTGATCAAACTTTGATAATTCATTGGGTCATATTCTTGAGCAGGTGCTCTACCCTTAGCACAAGTCTTGCCACATAATATCATATAACGATTTATTATAATTCTTGTTCAAAGTTTCAAAATTATATTTTTACCTTAATTATTAAAATTGATTGAACATCGATATTTCAATTTAAGAAATTTTGCCCGAATACTCATAACGTTACGGACTTACCCATTTGATAAAATACTAGAAAAACGACGTTGTTTTGTGGGCTAAAGCTCTAAATCTTAAGTCTTAGACTTTAGAATTAATTTAAATCTTACTGCTATTACTTATAAATAGGGATGTTAAGTAATCTGACCAGGTGGTCAGAATTTATATTAAACCACGGTTTTCAAAGTACTGACTAGCTAGTTAAACTAGCTAGTTCTATTGAATAGATCACATTTTTTAACCAGGTGGTTAAACTACTTATAAAAAATAGCATTTAAAGTTTTTATAAATGGTTATTATTATTCAAGGTAGATGTCCAAAAATTTACGAGAACAGCTGTAACATTATAAATTTCTGGCCACTTTAAAACTACGCCGGAAGTCAACTTACTAAATAAAACCTCTTGTATTTTACAATAGAATTTTGTGCCCTGTTATATTATTTATAAAATTATATTTATAACCAGTTTTATGATCTAATATAAATGAAAGAAAAATTTCCTTACAAATAGAACAATAATTATGTCTAAGATTGCAACAGCTTCACAAACCTTTTTGAAAAATTATTATTATCAGTAAGTTGACAGGCAAGTGATGTTTCATTTTCTAAAATATTTTTTGTTCATTTTGATTTATATTCTCTTTCGTTTTGTTATTAGTTTATAACAAGCTTGCCTCTTTTCTGATTCACATTTTTGATAACCTAACTGCTGTTCTTCAGTTATTGAACTTTTTTATTTCTTTCTTGATTCATTTCTTATAGCTATTGTTTAGCTGTATAAGTTCTTTTTTTTTTTTTTGCATTTTAACCTAAATAAAAAAAAACATAACCAAAAACTTTCTTTTATTTTTTCAAAATACTTGCTTATGATACAATAGCATATTTATAATAATACAGAATAATTCTTATTTTCTAATTGATAAATTACTTATTATTAACATTTATAATAATACTTAATATGAAGTAATTTTTACTTTCTTACTGACAAACTATTTTTTATTTAAAGTCAGTTTATATATTCTATTAAAAGTTAGTTATTATATTTAAACCAAGAATCAGGTATCCAAATATTGATCTTAATTTAGGTTTAATTTTGGTTATTGAATCTAAAATTTGGATTTGGATTAAAGCAGAAGTTAGATATTTTTGAAAATTTAGTAAAATAGTATTTTAGTATTTAAAAGTTTTTTTTGTTTTTCTTTGGTTTTAGCCAATTATATATTTTATAAAGTTATTATATATATTTTTTTTCATTTGAAGTGGCAATCTTGCCTGTATGTCTTTATTAGTAACATATGATTACACTTTTATATACAAAATATATTAACGAAAGTACAACTAGTTACATGTATAACTTTAGTTATTATCTAATTAAGCATTCCACCTATAGGTTACTTACTAGATGCCATATCTGAGACCCACCTGTAGATCTTCTATTTAAACTTTCTAATTTTCAACACTTATGTTTGCATATATATGCAATATTTATATTATTATTATAATAACATATTAGGTTAGAGTTATCTTAGTTATTATTTATATCAAAGTACTATCTCATTGGATATTACTAAGTATCCATATTTTTTTGAATTTACCTTTGATACAAGCTTACTAAGCTGGTACCAAGATTACTATTTAGATTCAATTTAGTGTATCCCATATCTACTAAATTAGTTTTAAATATCAGAAGTGTTCAAATTTCAGTAAGTTTATTTCTTTTCTGTAGTTTTCTTTTATGTTCACTGTATCATCTGCTAGTGCACCTTCTCTTCATTTCTGGTATGTTCATCATATTTATTGCATTAAGCATTAACTCTTCATATTAGAAAACTTCTTTCTGAAAACTTCTTTTTACACTGATCTTCTATTTATATAAACTTAATCACAGGGTTTCGCATACATTCATATGCTTCTGTAAATTACAAAGTTTTTGTCTTCAGCTAGAATTGAACTATCAATCTTGTTTATAGAGAAAGGGGCACCTAAACCACTAAGTTACAGAACCTCATCTCCAAGTTATTATATTTTTTAAATAATTGCAATTAATTCTTCTTATAATTAATTATTTATTGAACCTAATTCTAAAGAAAAAGTTAATAAATAATAATCTTAAACAGATTTAAAATAAATTATAAAAATTGCTTATAGCAAACCATTATATAAACATACTAATATTAATCATCATATTTTCAACTACAAAGTTATATCTACAAAGCACTGGAAATCCTTTGTAGATACCTTATCTCAACAACTCCTATTATACAAAACTCCTATCAACAATGAAACTCATAAGAGTATTGAAACTACTTGGCACAAAATTCAATGCTCTATTATTTACTCTGTTACCCATACTATTTCTAACAAAGTCTCTCACAAACACAGCTACAACCATCAATACTTATCTCACAATATCCTATTACATCTATTTTTCAAAAAACTTGGTCACATTATTAAACTTGTTAAAAAACTTATCCAACATTCCAATACCTCTTATATCAATCAAAACATCTCTCTAATTAACAAATAGTCATAATGTAACCTTCAAATAATTACCTCTACTGATTCAATCTTTATTCAAACTTGGCTCTAATATGCTCACTTGATTTGGAAACAACTCTTTCATGCTTGACATCTTGAAAACTCTCTTTTATTTTGATAACAAATTAACCAAGCTATTGACAAAAGATGTGTTAATCTTACAACACATTCTATTCAGACTATCAATAACATTCTTAATCATTATTACCAACCTGTCCACTTCACTAATATAAAACTTCCTCAAGAGCTTATTACTGACCCACTAATCATTAAACAACATATTCGATCTCATTTTCAAAATTGGACTGCATACAAACCTATTAATCAAATTCTCTTTAATAATTTTTGACAATAATACTATCTCCTACTCTCTTACATTAATCCAACTTGGTATCATTCTCTTAATTCTTCTATTACTAATGATGAATTTCTAAGAACTCTCTCTTCTAACTACCTAATAACAAAGTCTGTTGTCCCACAGGCATTAGTTATGAAATGCTCAAACATATTAGTCCTCAATACACTTCTGCTATTATTGTTCTTTTTAACTGTTGCCTTCTTGAAAACAGAATTCCTAAGCAATGAAAATATAGCTGCATTTATCCTATCTCTAAATGAAACACTTTTAATGATAACTTTAATTTTACTCAACCTATTAGTCTTGTCGAACATATTTGCAAGCTCTATACCAAAATCTTTACCAATCAACTTAGCTCTGTATTTTCAACCTATTCAATTCTTTCACCTTTTAATTATGTTACTCTCTCCAACAACAGTACTTTAATTCCTATTCATATTCTTATTAACCTTATTAAAGATGCTTCTTACAATCATAAGGACATTTGGTTACTCTTACAAGATATAAGTAAAGCTTATGACTTTGTTAACCTTACTCTCTTTAAATATGCATTCTCTTATCTTTCATTTTCTTTATCTACTATTAACATTCTCTCTGACCTTCTCACTGATCATTACAATCAAGTCATAACTGATCTTAGCTTAACTTTACTCTATTCAATTCACAATAGTATCAACCAAGGTAAAACTATTACTCCTTTGTTATAACATATTTATTATAATCCACTTATCTCTTATATATACTCAAATACTCCTGGTTACAAATTACAATCCTCCTGGACTACTAATCTTAAACTTCAAACATCTAACTTATTACAAAAAAATGCTTTGTTTTAGCTTATATGGATGATATTCTTTGGATTATCTCATTACAATCTAAACTATCACACATATTATCTATAGTTGAATCCTTTTATGCTATGACCAATATTCAAGTTAACCCTTCAAAATCCATTCTAGTTATCAACAATCCTCTATCTCATTATACATCTATTTCTTATAATAACCATCTTCTTTCTCTACATTCTTCTAAAATACCTTTTAAATTTTTAGATTGTTGGTTCACTTTGGACAACAAACAATCTAAACAAACAAAACTACTTATCTTTGAATCTTTTTAACTCATTCAAATCACTAAAACCAAACATATTACTGACTCACATGCTCACTATATTATTAATACAGTGATAATTTCTATTCTTAAATACCAACTTCAAAATATTGTAATTAATTAGTTAACTTGTAACAAAATTTTCACTCAGCATATTGGCCTTGTCAAACTTAAAGCCAAACTTTATTGCATAATACCTTCTAGTACCCTTTTACATCCACAAATTTACAACATCAAACACATTTGGAACGTTCAACTGCAATACCATATTCCTAACCTTCTCAAATGACTTAATAATTCTGCCCTATTAGGCACATCTACTCATATTCAAATCCAACAACTACAAAACAATCTTTGGTCTCCAATCAGCATTTTCTCTCATCTCAACCCAATTATTAATGGTCCTAATCAGCTAACCACAAACTTTAAAATTATATAGCTTATTAAACATATTGGTTGAACATTCTCAATCAATCCAACTTGTAACATTCTTTACACTTTATATGATGAAATTATCTCTTTGGAATCTCTTCTCTCTTCTAATTCTAAATATCCTGTTTTCAAAAAACAACTTAGACACCACAAACTTCTCTTTTTTGATCGACTTACCATCTATAATAATTTATATTTACTATATTGGTATTATATTTCTCTCAGACTAAACAAATTTCCTAAAGATATTATACCTTAATGGTTTACTATTCTTGAGAACATTACTACTAGTCATTCTTATGAATGTACATTATACAATCATTTTAACCTATCTCAGTCAAACTACTTTTTTTATACTACTGGTTACTTTAACTCTAATACCAAACTCTGGCTTTTTATTATTCTTAATAATCAAATCATTGTTGGCAAAACCAGAAGGCATAATAGCCCTACAGGCCTTACTCTTGTTACTCACTGGCACTGTTCATTTCAGTCTCAGTTTACTAACCCATATCCTATTTTTCTCTCTACTACTACCATATGCCCTAGATGCCACTTTAATTCCAATACAATTACTAACAAATGCACCATCTTTATTTCTCAAATTTGGCTACTAAATTACTTTGTTGTATTAATTCTGACAAAACTCTCAACCTACATGGCAACTTTCTTAATATTGCATACTCTGTAGCTATTCAACATCCTGTACATATTCCACCTTCTTCTTCATTAACAATCAATTCATAACAATTACCTTGCATCTTTCAATTATGCCAACTTACTAACAGTTTACAGGCTATTACTAATTTCAACTATAACCTAACTACTATTTCATTTTATACTAATGATTTTGTTATTGAGCTTGGTACTTCTTAATGCTCTATAGACATAGGCTAGGTCCAAGTTGATAACTCTACAACTACTTATTCATTTTAGGCACAAGTTAAACTTTGGTCATGCTCTTTTAAAGCTGAAATTCTTGCTATTCTTTCAGCAATTATTACTGCTTCCAGAAACTGTCTGTTCACATCTTTACTGACTTACAATCTGTAATTTCCAAGTATCACAGTATTTGCTCATCAGCTTCTAAACTTTCTCATACCCATATACTATACTTTTCTATTTGGCAAACTCTTATCAACTTCATTATCTCATACAATATTCAGTTTGCTTTTCATAAAGTTACTGCACACCAAGATGATCCATTCAATAATCTTGCTGACCAGCTTGCTCATAGTCATCAAATACTACCTTTCTTAACATTTCTAAGCAACAACTCTTATAACTTTGTATATATTCTATTTATTGACCAATTTCCTATTGAGATTCTCATTTGATGCTCTATTCATACTATCTGCCAAGCTCATATTATAACACTTTGGACATTCCAATATCGTTTTCAACAATGGTCTACTATTGCATCTAATATTAACTAGAAAGCCACTTGGCTTT